CATATTAAATAATAGGATTAAACATTTGTTAATGGTAATTTTAACTATGTTAGATCCACTGGCAATCGTATAGTCACAAATTACTGAAACCTTCAGCTGATGTCTTGATTGGGAAACTGCTCCAATGTTGAACTTAAAATATTGCTACACATAAACCTTTCTGTAAAATATATAGTCGACTACATCCATTTTTTTCAACTTTACTCTGTGTAACAGGCCAGAAAGTGAAACAAGTGGTAAATCTGCAGGAAGCCGGAGAACAGAGGAGGTTTGTTGGTGTTGTAATGTAGGAGGACATGGACAGGACTTCCACTCTGCCAAGAATCCATGATTTATGTAAGCCTACCATCTGTTGCCACAGAATACGTTGCACAACTACCAATGAGTCAGATTGGCTATACGGTCATCTACAATGTCTCACACACACACACCAACCACACACACACACACACACACACACACACACACACACACACACACACACACACACACACACACACACACACACTGCATCTCGCTGCAGCTGACAGCCATTCATTCACTTCACTGACATGCACAGGCTATATCTAAATGGGGGGCTTTCTCTGGATTGGAAACCCCCAACACACACACACCTTTTTTCAATCAACACATTTGTACTGCTTTAATGCTCACCACCTCAGTTCTTTCGCTATATCCATGTCATACAAAAGTACACATTGGCACAAATACAAGCACACACACACACACACACACACACACACACACACACACACACACACACACACACACACACACACACACACACAGATTGAGCGCTTCTCAATAGCCTTTAGATTCCCCTACACTGGTGACATGCCTCAGATGTGACGTCTTTGTTCCCACCCGTCAGACCCCCACCTTAAAAAACTGAAGAATCACAATTTTAAAAAACTGCCACACCTTTCCTTGACACCTTGACCCTTCACACTCACACACACTCACACACACATCGGCTTGCGGCATGTTTGCTCTTACGACGTGAAAGCCCTCTCTCATTAACCCAGAGGGCACCCCCAGCCTCCCATTGTGCCCCTATCTCCAGCAGCATTCTGGGTAAAGTAGTTTAACAATGTCAACCAGATAAGCCCAATGCAAACGTGCTGATAAGCAGTGAAAGACTGCACTTAATGTGTGTGTGTTTCTTAAAGGCGTTGCTTGATTGAGGAGCCAATGAGGAGGATGTAAAAGACCAACAGTGAGCAGAATGGGTATATATATGTGTGTGTGTTTGTGTGTTTGTGTGTGTGTATATGTGTGTGGTCACCCTGGCAGGCGCACAGTTTCATATCTTTGTAATAACAATCTAAACTGCAGAAACAGCGAAACACAGAATACAAAAGAAAAGCAAACACACATCGCGCTGGACAAAGAGCCTGAATGAATGTGTGTGATTTCAAAATGGCCAAGGACCATTAGCAAAGTTATTCAGACAAAAAAAATGACTCAACTTTTCCTGTATTGACAAGTTAAGCAGAAGGAGAGAGATACGCTCGCAGGAAATAAAAATAAAAAGGGTCAGAGGAGTGGAGGGGCCCAAATGTAAGAGAAAAGAAAACGCAGCTCAGTGAAATAAAGTTTACGGCCGATGTCCAAGGCGATGCTGAATCTCGAGCGTTTCTTCGCTGTAATGCGAGGTCAAAGGTAAATCCTCTATCCAGACTTTAAAGTTGCAATGAGCCGCCTCACAAAGACTCCGCTGCGATAAAAAGGTGTGAATATTTCACAGGAATTCTCAAATAAAACGCAGTACATTTTGTCCCAGAAACTCCACTTAAAGGAAGCTGAAAATCAATAAAAGTACACATAAGTAACTAAGTATATTACTCAAGTACTAGCTGCACCCTTACCAGCTTTGGTAACACTTCATCAATAATTATAAAACATATCATATATATTATTCTGAAATTGAGTAATTTGCATACTAATGAGTAGTATATTTTGATGCTAAAACTTTTGTTCTTTTACTAGAGTAACATTTTGAATGCAGGACTTTTACTTCTGACAGAGTATACACTGATACTTCTACTTTTACTTAAGTACAAGATCTGAGTGCTTCTCCCTCCTAAAGAAGAACAGGACTGCATGCAGACTGTGTGGATTTATATCAGACTGTACACAAGACAAGCTGTTTGGTGAGCACATGTGAGCAGCATTTTTGCATCACACACACACAATTGTAAGCACACACCCATGCACAAGTATTTGAAATCTTGGCAGGCCGAAACCCGATATGGTCGCTTTGTTCTCTTAATGGTCCTGTTCCGTTTTTATTATCCTGAATACCTCACCCACCTGTACACCCAGGTGACTTTACCCTGCGCGTCGTCTCTCAGGAATCAAGGGAAGATACAGTTCCCCTTTCTATCCCCATTCTTCCCCCTCTATCGACAGCTACAGTTTCAAATTGCTTCCTCCTCTCATGTGTTTCTAACTTTCTCCCTCCCCCTCCTTATTCTTTCTCCTGCGGTCCATTTCCTGCAGCAGACAAATGATCGGCATTGATGAACACAAGGCCGCATTCAGAGGACTCACGCCCAATCAGAAGTGGAGAAGAAAACAATCAAGATTTTTTTTTTGTAAGAATCTTTTTTAATGAAACACAAAAAGGCAATAAAATTAAGATAAATATTTTTTTCCTTTTGTACATGAGGAAATATTTAAGTCATATTTCCCAAAGAATGACTGAAATTACATAATATATTTTAGTAGGCAATCTCAACCGTACAAAGCAGTTTTTCCAGTGGGTCTTAATAAAAAAAAAAAAAAGCAATGATGTCGCTTCGGTCAAAACGTGATGTTTACAGCTCCAGTGTTTCTTAGAGAAAATACAGCTTTAAAATCAATAAAAGACCCATAAAAGTAATATTTAAAAATGGAGTTTCACATTCCTCTTAAAGCTTTTGCTTCGCAGTGTAACAGCAACATGTTGTTAAAAAATCAGTCAATGTCCTTAAAAAAAAGAAAGAAAAAGGCAATCATGATTCCCCCCCACCCCCTGTACATCCTATACACCGACAACCAACAGTCGTCACAGAATTGCATAAACGGTACGATGGAGGAAAACATAAAAACACACACATACACAGACATTTTTGGCAAAGCAGGAATAAAAGTGACAAGAAGCGTAATTTTGTGATTTGATCTTTATCTTGTTTTGTCTCTTATCAACATCGCCCCATTGAATTGGCTCTGATTGTCCTTCACAGTCACGTGACGCCATTGCGGTTGCCATGGTGACCTCAAGTGCATCAGCTGGGCAGCGTGCAGACAATGTTGCTGCAACGTTTCTCGGAGGCTGTCATAGCAACGCCGGATGAGCACGAGCATAACCTCCGTGATTGCAGCGGGTCCCGGATTCAGATTTGATTGATCTTTTTTTTTTTTAAATGTCTTTTTTCATATAAATTGTTTTTAATGCGATGAAACTCACAGGTGCTTTGGTATGTTTCTTTTTTTGATGCCAGATAAATATCTACATTTGATATAGGAATACAGGAAATAGATAAAGGAGATTCTTATAGGATCAGAGGACAGCAGAAACTCGGTTTCTTTTCCAGTATTTGTATTAAAAAAAGCACATTTTTAAACCCAATGGAGTGAAATAAGGAGAGAAAAATGAATTTAGACAAAAAGAGCCTTTTTCTGATTTCCTTAGAAAAACATTTCCCAAACACCCTTTCTACATATTTAAAGTCTTCACATCAGTTGTACAGTTTGACCCCGAATCTCCAATCCTGTTCAGTGCATTGAGAGAGAAGGACACTAACCCTCCCTCTGTCAAAACCCCCCCGATCCCACCCACACACACCCTAAAAAAACGTAAATAAAATAATCTCTGCAAAAGAAAACAAAAAAAACAAATATATATGTATACTATTTACAACATGTCATATTATACATGATGCTGTACAAAGCGCGCACACACAAGCGCCCATGCACACACACATCTCAAATAAACAATCCAACTACCTGTACATGTGTCTCCGCACCCGCAATAGGTGGGTATGAGAGAGAGAGGTATTGACGTGTATGGCTTGACAGGAGAAGAAATTCCGGTTTTCTGAGGACTGCACGTTTATTACGGGACAGATTCATATTCAGAAAGTTCCAGATAAACTGCCGAGACGTCATCCCTGCCTGATGAGCGCGGATGAACACGTGCCACACATTCAGTACAAACACACTCACCGCTAAAGCACTATTTACTTAGAGCTCATTAAATGCCAAACAGGGTCATCGCAGTCACTCTGCAAACACACATTCACACTCTCACACACAAAGTCCGAACTACAGTGTTTTTTTGGTCCTGTTGGGGATCTCCCAATTGTCAAACTACCAGTATAAGACCATTAAAAACCCTCCAAACCAGTGCGGCTTACAGTAAGTCTCAGAGTCAGTCTTTGTTTTAGACTCCCGCCGTAGTATATCCAAGCGACCGTAACTCCAAAGTGCTCATGTCCTTGGTTCTTTAGTTTCCTTGTCGACGATATCCTCTGTTATTTCAGCCACAGGGAAGGCTGCCGACAACAAGGAGCCTCGGTCCACATCTGATAAAGAGGTTGAACCTGTCACGGATCAGACTTTTCCCCAGAACAAAACCTCTTAGTGCCAGTACTGTCAGGCTTTATCCAGTGTGGCCAGCTCCTTCTCTTCGAGGGACAGATCAACACGCAGAGTCAGAACTCTTTGTCTTGGTTTCCCTCCGTCCCTAGCTTCGGTCTGGAAGCAGGATCCAGAATGTAGGTTAGACATTTTTGGATTTCTCTCTAGCTGGAGGTGCTAGGACACGATGGCCATGCCGTCCGCGCTGATCAGCTGACCCGTGGTGGGTTCGTAGGACCCCGCCAGGTAGAAGAAGTCGTTGGCCGCGCTGCCGGGCTTACGTTCACGCGTCAGGTGATCGTACTCTACCCTGCTGACCACCTGGCAGCGATGGGAGATGGTCTGAACATCGTTCTCATCCTCGTGGCTCGATTGATACAATGCATTCTGGGAAAGATAGACAGGAAGAATGGTTGATTAACAAGGGGGCGTCAATTTGTGTGGAAAAGAAGCGGGGACAAAGGTGGGTCGGATTGTCTTTAAATGGTCCCAAACCTATACAATGTTTATGCCATGAAATGGGCAATCAGTTCGAGGTCAGAGTAGATATTTAGCAGGATTGGGAAAAAAACAAGAATCTATGTCAAGATGTATTTAAAGTAACTGATGCATGCTTTTTTGGGCAACATTTAAAGGGACCCTATTGTGCTTTTATGTGTTATCCCTTTCCTGTAATGTGTTAAATAGGTTTCAGTGCATTTAAATGGTCCGCAAAGGCTAACATTCCACCTACTGTATGTTGATAAATCAGCAAGAATATATACAGCCTGAAAACGTTGCTTTCACAAGAAAAGCTGTTGTTTTTGTTTGGAAATATCGTTCGTGCCTCATATGTCAAATCCTTTTTTTGTCATGTCTCGTAGCGTGGGTTGTAGTTTGAGTTCCTGCCAGTTGTGATCTTTACTGTTTGCTCAGCCATGATGGATATTTCTGCTCATGCAAACTCCTCAGCTCTTTTTCTAGTTATTCCAAACAAACCATTATTGCTGTTGCCAAAAATGCAAAATGCATGACTTCCTGTGTGGCAGGAGAGACATTTTTCCTGGGAAAGTCCGATTTTAAACGGAGTATTTAGAAACAGTACATGATAACATTTTCATGAACTAAAGTGGATGTTCAGCCGTTCATAGCGGATGGAAACGGGGGAATAAAAAAGCAGCAAAGAGGTAATATATTTATATGAAAATTTCACGGGCTGTTACTTTGACCATTCCCTGTTTTAGAGAAATTCTACTTGCACTCTGCGGCCTTTACCTTGCCATCGCGGTGTCGCTTCCCCAGGCGGGTCTCCTCCGGGTGGTAGAACCACTTGACCCTGACCACCATGCTGGAGCTCCAGGACTCCCAGAGGCTCTCCACCCGGCCCACGTAGGGCAGCTGGGGCCGGCCGGGTGACAGAAACACCGCGCAGTCACCGACACGCACCGTCTCCTTGCCCCTCACGATGGCCTTGTAGAAAAGCTTGCGGGCTTTACCCTTCAGACCTCTCCTCTGTGGAGGGAAAGGGAGTTAAAATAGCACTCTCAGTCAGTTTATTCAGCGCCGAGGGCTCATTTCACCACCAAAAGTCCATTAAGATTTGTGTTTGTTTTGCTATACCCAGGCTAGCAAAGCACGGTTAGATTTAATACTTCTTTCCTAACGCCAAAAATGAGCTAATGCCCACTCATAACACTCAGATCCTGTTGAGTTACAGGACCATGTTAGCTGGCACACACATAGTTCCTTCCTTTTTACTGAAACTCATGGAGAAGGGCCTGGCTTACACCTTTATTTCTGCTCTGTCGTTTCATTTTTTAACCCAGCAGATGTTTACAGAGCAAACAGCGCGGCAGAATGTAAACTGAGAGTGGCAGCGGCTGCTCCGACTGTTTTGTTCTGTTATCTCAGGATCGTGACTTAATAATCAGGATAACACAGTCAGAGAATAAAGCCTCGTAGTGTTGCCAAAGTCTACAAAGACTGGGAAAGACTGCAAGGACAAATTCTATTTGATCATTGCATTTACTGTATGTAATCAAGATATGACACAGCAGAGACTGAAACAACAACAGTCTACTTAAGTTGTGAAGTGAAAGGTTATTGACATGGTTTCGTAATTGTATGACCAACATAACAATGTGTGATAATGGAAAAGTCTGGAATCCATTTCATGTCTATTTTCACCAGAATGGACGTGTGTGAATTCTCTTTTGACTTTTCGTGTATGTAAAGGGCCCCAAAAATGCATTGATTTCAACTCTGCTTTAATTTTAATTGTACAAAGCCCAAAGTGTCTTACCTGTGTGGGGTTTCCGGACCATTTCCAGAGCTGGCGTCCAGGCAGAAGAGGTGCCAGGCTGGGCAGAGGCTCAGGTGAAGACATGCGCTGCCGCTTTGCCGGGTCCTTGGAGGAAGATTTCTGCAGCTGGCTCCCTGGGCTGCTCTGCCTCTGATGGTGGCTGCTGGACCCTCTGTCCTTCCTCTTCAGCTGGGCCTTAGCCGTGCTACTGTTAGCCACCAGACCTCCTTTTGACATCAACTCCTTCCTGTCTTCACTCCTCACTTTTGACCCCGAGATGCTACCTTTGGCCCTATAGGGAGCTGAGGGTGAGGAGCTGGAGGGGGCGGAGTCAGGGTTCAGGAGGTCAGAGGTCACGTTTTGTCTGTGTTTGTGTTTGTCCTGCTGGAGTAAGGCGCGTCGCAGCAGCACGGCGGACGACTCTTCATCCGATGAGTAAGAGGAGTCGTTTTCTGACGAGCAGAGGGACGACGAGGAGATGGACCCGGAGGAGGAAGAAGACGAGGATGACGAGGAGAAGCAGGCGGAGAGACGGGAGAGAAATCGGCTTCCACGTTGGGATGCGTCCCCTGTACTTCTCCGTGGAGCTTCGGCATCCTGACCTTCATCCTCGTCTTCCTCATCGAGCTCAGAGTAAGAGCTGGGGCAGTCGCTCTGGTAGTCCAAATCCCCTTCTTGGACTCCGAGACCTGCAGCCTGGAGATCCTTCCTCAGAGGTGGAGATCCCTTTGAAACCCCCTCAGATCGGACCCCGGTGATATCTTTCTCTCCTCCTGACTTCTTCCCATCTTTCACCACCATGGCAGGGTGGATGTATCGCAGCGGCACTCCTGCAGAGGCCGGACTTGTATCCCCTTTCCCTCCAAGTCGTTGTAGCGCCTTTCCATTCTTTGTTTTGGGCGAGGTCACTCCTTCGTGATCGAGCTTCACCAGGAACTGCTTTCTGTCGCGTTCGCTCGCCGGATGCCTGTTGTTAGAAGCCATGTTTACTGATGGGGAGCAGGTAGAGGACGAGACCCCCATGGAGGGTCCAGAAGAGCCAGGTCGCCCCGATCCAGAGCTCCTGGAGGTGGAGTAGCTGTTGGCGATGCTGCTGAAGGAGTCTCCTGCAAAAGGGGAGCCGAAGATGCCTTTAAATGGCGTTGGCGGAGCGAGGAGGTGGGAGGGCCGGTGAAACATCCCCAGGTCTCGCTCTCTCCTCCTCTGGGTCTTACGGGACGTCCCGTTGAAGAGGAAGAAGTCAACCGGAGGTCGCTTCTTGGGCGCAGACCAGTTCAACAAGGAAGTGTTGCCTTTGGTTACGGTATCCGTTACTGATGTCGCCGTGTTCGATGTCTTTGGCACAGAGTGGACTTTCTTCGGTCTGCCAACTGAAAAAGGAGAAGAGTTATAATCAGGCTTGGGTTGTAATGGATTACATGTAATGGTATATATATCGTAACCAGGATACAAAAAAACACATTATTGGTACTTTAAAAAAAATAAAAGGGAATTGCTAGCAGGATGACAAAGTAACAACCCATCTAAAAATAAATATAAATGAATAATAGGAAGGTGTACTGCATTACTTTTATATCGCGATACTTAGATTAGGCTACTAATTAAAACATTTAGTAATTGTAACATTTTTTAAGTAAATCTCTCGCCCCTGTTATAATCAATATGAAGTAATGGATCTTGAAAGTGATAATCGTGGAAGAGTTTTGGAGAAACGTTAACCTTTTATCTCTTTGATCTCCACCTAGCCAGGTATAAACAACATATCCATTACTCAAACTAAAACAAAACCTGGTAAACCTGTCTCTCCCTCCAGCCTTATTGTTACCCAGAGTTTTTGAAGAGTAGAAAGCATGTTGCGTAACAAAAGAAAACACACCGATGACACCTCGTTAACGCGTGATTGATGTGTTCAAATAGAGGTTAAATGATAGGAGGCAAACAAAGAGTTTTAATTTACGAGTCTTTCGGTTTATATCCCTCCCCTGCTCTGACTCGGGGGCATCTGATAAGTGGTTGGCAGTTTGAACTGTAAACGAGGCGGTGTTTGGGGGGATTTTACAATATTGCCTAAAGGGCTGTGAATGTATTTACTAGTTAGACCAGTACTTCTCAGACAACATCAAAAATAACCTTTGGTGTCTGAGGGACATACAAACCCAGAGTGGATTCCTCAGTGTTATTAAATAAAAACCCATTCTTTCCCACACATATAAAACTAAAGATTCAAGTAGTTTATTTCCCAGAGGGGCCGGTTATCCTGAGTTGGGTTAGTCTCGTCACTTTTTGGATAAAATAGCTTTAACCTAAAAAGTTATTCATTAACCTAATATTTGCCTTAACCCTTAGGTTAAACCCTCAGGAGACATTGCACCTAATTTGACTTTCAAACACGTATGATTATTATTCTTTTTTATGATCAACAATTTAAAAATACATTTCGATTTTTCATCCTTGCGACCGCAGCTCTCCTTCTTTTTACCTGACTGTTGATAAATTCTCAAATTGACCATAGTGACGTAAATATATGTACAGCTAATAGTGGTAACATTTCCCTCACCTGGTCGTTTCTCTTGGGGCCTTCCTGCTGTCTCCTCATTGGCCGGTTTCTCTGTGGGTGTTTCTTTCCTCTCCTGGGTGGAGCTTCTTCGTCCGCGGAAACCAGGTGAGATCAGAAGAGCTGGAGAGGGTTCAACACCTGATGGAGAAAAATGGGTTTAAACTAAAGTTTTTAGCTTGATTGTTTATTAGTTTCCTTCCCTCCTTGCTTCCTATCTTCCTTCCCTCCTTGCTTCCTATCTTCCTTCCTTTTTATTTGCTTTTGTTGTTTGTTCTACTTTTGTTTTTTCCTTCCTTTCTCTTACTCTCTTGTCTTACTCACAGCAGATTTGGTATCCTGGTGGCAGGAGCCTGATGTTTGTGAGGGAGATCCTTCCTCTGTCTCCATCATCAAACTCCACCATCACGCTGCCTTCCTTCTCCTCCTCACCTGGACTTCCTAAAGCACAACACATAAAACAGAAGACATTAGTTTCTGGAAAGGCACTAGTGTGTGTGTGTGTGTGTGTGTGTGTGTGTGTGTGTGTGTGTGTGTGTGTG